ACGTGTTTTTGGCTGTGAGACGTAGTTTGGATGAAGTTGTCGGCGATTCTTCCTATAGTAAAGTCATGCAATGTGAAAGTCCCTGTCGCCGATCCATCTTGCAGTGTAAACAAAGCAGCGACAAAACGCTAGCCAAGATAGTCAAGCAGTGTGAAAACATCTGTGACACGACTACTTTGAAAATCATGCAGTCTGAACTCGGCATTAGTCCCTTTATTAATCAGGGGTCGCCACAGCAGAATAAACCGCCAACTTATCCCAGAGGAAACCCACACCAAAACGGGGAGAACATGCAAACTCCACATAGAAATGCCAACTGACACAGCTGGGACTCGAACCAGTGACCTTCTTGCTGTGAGGAAAAAGTGCTAACCACTGAGCCACCATGTCGCCACATAATTTTTTTTATTTTATTTTTTTTATAGTGCAACCCTAATTCACTGCAAAGACTCTTCTGTCGTTTGCTAGCAGATATATTACACCTCAATGTACTAAAACTGCACTTAAAAAGCATTTGCACAATAGTAGGACCATCTGCAGATGAACGTCACACCTGCAGCATCACGCCGATGTTTATATTTGACATGCAACTGCACGTCAACGCCGCTGTAGACACGTGTTTATCCTATCATGAGCTCCTGAAGACAATGCACCAGTATGAAGAGCTCTCAGCAGGTGAAAGCCCAGCGTTTGGTCTACTTTTTCGGGCTGTTTAGTCTGGTTGATGATACCGCTGCTGACCTTGCGGAAAGTTTGTGCATGGTTTGAGCACCTAGTCTAAGTAAAACTCTTTGGTGGGGGGAGGGTTATGAGCTCTGCCGTATCCACTTACACATAACGCAAGAAACATAACGCCATTAAGCCACACGCATAATGCCGCAAAGCCAAACACATTGTTAAAAGATCATCGGTGATTAGGAAATCTGGGTGCATTTGGCATGGTGGAAATGTAATTAGGCTACTGCATATGGTGTTTAAAACAACACACTCTCTCTCTCTCTCAAACACACACAAACACACACACACACGTGGTCTTTTGCTTGTTATTTAGTTAAAGGCTGATTTTACACCGCTTTTGCAGTGTGTAAACTCCAGGTAATAAACTTACATAATAGCCGAGATAATCTAGATGAGAGCAGAGGTAGTAATGAACAAACAATCTCTCCTTGTTGCGTTTAAGCAACATGTTGCATTTGCAAAACATAGCATGTTAATTTGGCTTACGCTTTATTAACTACTGAGTAGTATTAATTAGTTGCATGTCTTTATTACAGGGATATGGTTAGGATGAGGGTTAGGAATAGGGTTAGATGCATGTTCACTTTATTTTAAAGATGCTGGGTTGTTTAAATGCAATGCTTGAATATGAATTGCATGAATGCAATGCTTGGAAACCCAACCACTGGGTTAAAAATCAGTTGTAAAAAATCCATCAATTACTAATTAAATGAAATAATGAAGACAACACTGGGTTTGTCCATACTTCACTTACACTTTATTACGTCCTTGTAACTACTGAGTAATATGAATTAATTACATGTATTTAATGTATGGTTTGGGTCAGAATGATGGTCAGGAATATAGGGTTAGTTGCATGTTCACTCGATTAAAAAAAAAATGCTGGGTTGTTTAAATGCAATGCTTGAATATTGGAAACCCAACAGTTGGGTTAAAAATGTAATTTAAAAATCCATCAATTAAATATTGAGCAAATAAAAAAAATACAACAATACTTTGCTTATGCTTTATTATGTCCTGTGAACTACTGCGAAATATAGGATGAGGGTTAGGGCTAAGATTAGATGGATGTTCACTCTAAAAAATTATGTTGAGTTGTTTAAAGGAAATGCTTGGTCAAATATTAGAAACCCAACGGTAAATAAAAAAAAATCCATCAATAAAAATTTAATTTAAAAAAATGAACACAACATTGGGTTTGTCTATACTTTGCTTACGCTTTATTGTGTCCTTGCAACTACTGAGTAATATTAATGTATTTATTATATGATTATGGTCAGGATGAGGATTATGGCTAGGGTTAGTTACATGTTCACTCTATTAAAAAATGTTAAAATCCAATGCTGGGTCAAATATTGGAAACAACCCAACAGTTTCCAGTTTCAGTTTAATTTTTTTGTCCCACTTTATATTAAGTGGCCTTAACTAATATGTACCTACACAGGAACTAATAGTTTGTTACAATGTACTTGTTGTGTAAATAAATGTATTTATTGTGTACTGACCATTCCCTACACCTTAACCCACCCTTAAACCTACCCATACCACCAAACCTGTCAATAACCCAACCCCTATCCCAACTCAAGAGCACCAGGTGTTCTCAAATACTATTATTAACACAGTAAGTACGTTGTATTTATTTTTTTGATGCAAGTACATAGTAGGTAAGGACACTTAATATTAAGTGGGACCTATTTTTATTTATTTTTTTTAAATACCCATTCACTTTTGTAACTTCTGATTAATATTAATAAATTAATTGCATCTATTTACTCTATGATCAGGGTAAGGATGAGGGTTGGGGCTAGGGTTAGTTGCATGTCATGTTAAAAACATTATGCTGGGTTGTATAATTGCAATGAATGTTGGGCCAAATATTGGAAACCTAACAGTTGGGTAAATATGTAATTTACAGATATCCATCAATAAAAATGAACAACATTAGCTTTGTCTTTACTTTGCTTACACTTTATTGTGTCCTTATAATTACTGAGTTATATTAATGTATTACATGTATTTTTTATATGGAAAGGGTCAGGATAAGGGTTAGGTCTAAGGTTAGTTGCATGTTTATCTTATTTTAAAAAAATGCTGGGTTGTTTAAATGCAATGCTCGGTCGCATATACTGGGTTTGTCCATACTTCACTTACGCTTTATTATGTACTTGAAACAACTGAGTATTATTAATAATTGGATTTTTTATATTGATATGGTCAGGATGGGGGTTAGGAATAGGGTTAGATGCATGTTCACTTCATTTAAAAGATTCTGGGTTGTTCAAATGCAATGCTTGAATACTGGAAACCCAACAGTTGGGTTGAAAAATGTGATTAAAAATATCCATCAATTAAAAGGTTAATAAAATAAAAAAAATGAACACATCACTGTGTTTGTCCATACTTCACTTACACTTTATTATGTCCTTGTAATTACTGAGTATTAATAATTAATTACATGTATTCATTATATGGTTAGGGTCCGGATGATGGTTAGGTCTAAGATTAGTTGCATGTTCGCTATATTAAAAAAAAAATGCTGGGTCAGACATTGCAAACCCAACCATTGGGTTAAAAAATGTTATTTAAAAATAAATCTATCAATTAAAAATTTAATTAAATAATGAACACAACACTGGGTTTGTTCATACTTCACTTACACTTTATTATGTCCTGTATCTACAGAATAATATGAATTACTCACATGTATTTATTATAAGGTTAGTGTCAGGATGAGGGTAAGGAATAGGTTTAGATGGTTGTTCAAAAAATATGTTGTGTTGTTAAAATGCAATGTTGCATCAAATATCGGAAACCCAACCATAATTAAAAAAAAATCCATCGATTAAAAATAAAAGAAATTTTAAAATGATCATTGGGTTCGTCCGTACTTCACTTACACTTTATCATTTGTAATTCCTTGTAACTGCTGAGTAATATTAATGTATTTACAATGGTCAGGATGAGGGTTAGGGTTAGATGGATGTTCACTCTAAAAAGCAAATAATGCAGAGTTGTTTAAATGCAGTGCTGGGTCAAGTATTGCAAACCCAACAGTTGGATTAAATCTAATTAAAAAAAAAACATCAATTAAAAATGTATTAAATAAACAATGAACCCAACATTTGAGTTTGTTCACATTTGACCCAACGGTAGATTAAAACAGTCCAGGATTTTTTAGAGTGTAATTATGCATTGTGATTACTATAGTAAGTACAAGGAACATGGGTAACAAGGACACCTACAATAAGTGTTACCCTAATTTTTAAAGTGCAGGAAAAACTTCTGAGCTCTGTTCCAAAATATATTGATCTCTGAAAAAATCAAAGTTATTTCAAGACAATTTTGTGTCCGATATGGACAAAACTACCACTGTTCATTTTTTTAAATCCATTTTTAGGACTAATTATAAACTAACATTTGGATTTGTCCATATTTTACAAATTGAGCTGATAACAGCATCTCATTTAGTTTTTTTGAGTGTGTCTTGCTTTCTGTAGGCTGCTTTCTTCTTAGACACCTATCTGTATAGGTCAATTTGAACACAGAAACTACTGTATTTCAGGTCTTTATTTTCTTGAGTATATATGAACGTGTATGGGAATTTATACACCGCTAATCATTATTATTGCAGTTCGGTTTGTTGCCACCAGAGGCGCACAATTCACAAACTCTACATCAAGAATAAGATTGAAATCTTTAACAGAAAAATAAGTAATCCTTTTATTATTATTATTATTAATAATAATTATTATTATTATTATTATCATTATTAATTTTATTGAGCAAATCGACCAGACTAAATTCCTTATTACACACTTTAAAATACATCCATCAACATTAAGCTACGCTAAAGCACCAAAACTGTCAACATCATAATAAAATAAAGCGGATACGAAATAGTTTATATAGAACAATTTCTCACCTGTCTGAAAACAAAACCCAGCCATTCTAGTACACTACTTAGGCTATATAATAAATTAACCTACAATTTGTACTTTGTTCTAGCCTATCCATAATAAAGCTCAACGAAAGCTGCAGTACATCAATTATATACCAAAAACAAAAGAATAATTCTCCGATCCAAATCAATCCTTTATACTCATCATAAACCCTAAAACAGAACTACAGTTTCAAACTTGCCACGGAAAAACACGCATATATCCAAATGTCGCGACTTCGGGTTTAAACTACACTCGCTTTACATCCTAAAACAGTACAATATCCATCAGAAATGATCGACTAGTGTGCTATAAAGCTCTTACCGTGTGTGTTGATCGCTATCCACATGTGAAAGCTTTGTAATCTCCGTTCAGTGTGTGTGTGTGTGTGTGCTGCGGCTCTTTGCGTACTGAAGTGACGGTCTGAGTAGCGGCTCGAGCTCGTGGATTCACCGGGATCATCCCACTCCGGTGGGCGGGCAGGTATGAGTGTAAACCGACCCCCAACACAAACGCGACAGCAGAGGGAGGGAGAGATGTTGTTTTTTGGGGGGTTGACTTATACTATAACAGACAAAACGTTTTAAACGTCGGTGTTTTCATATTAAAGTGTTTTATAGTATTGTGTTTTGTCATGCGGGATGATTAAATCGACATACTGTGTGAGAACTGAACTGAGTGTTTAGCTGTAGTGTGCTTATGAGTGTGTGTGCGCGAGAGAGAGAATGTGTGTGTGTTTGTGTGTGTGTGTGTGTGTGTGTTACGATATTAAAGATGGTAAGTCACGAGGAGGGGAGTAACATTCATTTTAAGTGAAACACATAAGCAAACACACAATATCAACAAGTGAGGGACAAAATACCAAGACTAACTAAATGCAATAAAGTGAGTTTATTTACAAAGATAGTGATAATAATAATGTGTGTGTAAAGTTTCAGCTCAAAATACCATACAACTAATTTGTCATAACTCTCTGAGACTGCCCCTTTTAGGCTGTGATTGGTGACTGTCGCTTTAAATTCAAATGAGATTGTGCTCTTTTCAAAAGAGGGCGGGGCTACAGATGCCTATGCGTCAGCTTCATTTAAACTCCACATTTATAATCCTCTTAGTCGCTGACATTATCTTCAGCAGCTCAAACACTTTAATGGTGGACGGCTGCTTCTAACTCAGGGCTGTTTATGCTAATCAGGGAGAGATGGTCACCTTTGGGTGGGGCTTTCCTCTTCTGATGACAAGTATAAAGGGAGAGTGTCAATCAAAGTGTTTCTGCAGACTGTTTTTAACGATGTGTGATGATAAACAATTGAATTATTTAATTTGTACCATTAGACGCTGGCTATACTCACGCACTGCTGACACACAACTGTGTTTAAACCACTTATAAAAGTGATTTTTGCATTAACAGGTCCTCTTTAAAGTAGCACCAGTGCAGTGTGCAGTCTTATGCATAAGGACTTTTACAGCGTTTTCTGCAGTGCATCTGTAAGGAGAAACCCAACACCGCTTGACCCGCTCCTGATACCGCTGCCCCCTGGCCTAAACCCGAGGGAGCCTGGAAAGCAGACTTCCTTCAGGCCACCGTGTGTGTAGGTCGAGGGTCCAGGGGTCTGAATAATCTTTTTAACGTCCGTCGTCCTCAGCAGGTGATGAAATCTTGGCGTAATTTGCGGTGACAGCAGTCAGGACTCTTATTATGCAGTAGTGTTGATCTCTTGGACTCCACCATGATCACGTAGGGAAGACGAGGGGTGTTAGATGGTGAATAAGAGGGTCTCAAGGTCTGTGTCTATTATCAGCTGGTTAAGGGCCAATTGTCACTTCTAAACTAAGTTTTTGAAAAGATTGGTGATCAATTTAGGCATCATTTAGTGATGAGTTTGCTAAAGCAGTTTGAGATTTATTATATAAATATACAAGTATACACTCACCGGCCATTTTATTAGGTACATATGTTCAACTCCTTGTTAATGCAAATTTCTGATCAGCCAATCACATGGCAGCAACTCAATACATTTAGGCATGTAGACATGGTCAAGACGATCTGCTGCAGTTCAAAGCGAGCATCAGAATGAGGAATAAAGGGGATTTAAGTGACTTTGAACATGACGTGGTTGTTGGTGCCAGACGGGCTGGTCTGAGTATTTCAGAAACTGCTGATTTACTGGGATTTTCATGCACAACCATCTCTGGGGTTTACAGAGAATGGTCTGACAAAGAGAAAATATCCAGTGAGCGGCATTTCTGTGGGCGCAAATGCCTTGTTGATGCCAGAGGTCAGAGGAGAATGGCCAGACTGGTTCCAGCTGATAGAAAGGCAACAATAACTCAAATAAGCACTCGTTACAACCGAGGTCTGCAGAAGAGCATCTCTTAACACACAACACTTCCAACCTTGGGGCAGACAGGCTACAGCACTACTTCCAGCAGGACAATGACTTCACTGTACTCAAATGGCCTCCACAGTCACCAGAGCTCAATCCAATAGAGCACATGTGGGATGTGGTGGAATGGGAGATTGGCATCATGGATGTGCAGCTGACAAATCTGCAGCAACTGCGTGATGCTCTCATGTCAATATAAAGCAAAATCTCTGAGGAATATTTCCAGTACCTTGTTGAATCTATGCTATGAAGTATTATAGCAGTTCTGAAGACAAAATGGGGTCCAACCTGGTACTAGTAAGTACCTAATAAAGTGGCCAGTGACAAAAAAGTGTCCTTCTGAATCTAATCAGCAGGATGCCTGACTTTAACTGCAGTTCGGCAGTTTCATTTACACTCATGAACATTTCATTCATCCCCTTGTGACAAACTGGGGTATTAGACGCAAATAAGGAGTAAGGACTGCTGAGAGTGTTATGGAATTTAATAACGCACGCCAAATGGAAAGAAAGAATGGAAAGTCTGTGTGTGGTTTGGTGCGGTCCTTTGCGGTCCTTGGATCTTGTTGGAAAATATGGTGAAAAGTCCTACATGACGGTGATAGTTTGATCGTTGTGTTTACTTTAATAATGCCTCTAATATCTGCAGACTCCACATGTCCTAATTCCATTTCTGTTTAGTTCAGTGATGACTTTAGTCGGATTAAGGTGATGAAAAATCACTGTTTGGAGCTTATGTAGGCCTACAGGTCAACATTCATGTTTAACTGAATAAACAGTGAGTAAACACAAGTACATCTTATTGAACATCATTTATTTTCATCACAGTAGAACAGTTTCTCAAGCAGTTTGTCATGCATTGTCGAAACAGGAGATGAGCCCCTGGTCTAATGCGTCACCTGGCTTGAGAAACCGTTCTCACAGACTTATTATTTGAGTAAAACACATATTCTGAATGCCTTCTACAGAATTCAAGTGAGCCATTTTAATCTACATTAAAAAAAATTATCTATGCCCTCCTATTATATATATATATATATATATATATACACACATATATATATATATATATATATATATATATATATATATATATATATATATATATATATATATATATATATATATATATATATATATGAAAAATCAATTAATTTTATTTACTCCCTAAAAGTCTACAATTAAATAACAAGGTCAATTTTGCTTTGCTAGATCTTTCAATAACCAGTCTCAGAATGTTCTGATAAGTCTGCTTGATAATCCCTCAATACCGCAAGTAAATTATTTTGCTAAAGGAACCTTTGTGTATTATTTCAGGGACCCTGCCTGCATGCACACACTGGGTTCAGGTCAAGATTAATGGCGCTCCTTCAGGGCAGGAAGTCACTGTAAACTCGGCTTCCTGTCTGAACTCTGAGACCATTTGAGTTTTTGGTGTGTTTGAAGCATACGGTGACCATTAGAGGATCAAGCGCGTAATCACACACACCGATTAATGGTGTCCGGCGGGCTTCATTTATGTGTGCTAAACAACCTTTTAATCAGTGAAACAGACTGTCTTCCCTGAGCATCACATGCAGACGCTGCTCCACATGACATCAGTGCCTTTGGTCTGTAAATGTGGCTGTTTGCTTTAATAAAACATTTATTTTTGCTTGCTACCATCAAAGCTCTCCTTAAAGCAACTTAAATTGTTTTATTTTAATCTTAATGTTGCATTTTGCATAAAGAATAATGGATCATTGTGCATTTTTGCGTTGTGGCATTTTCATCAACACATTTATTTAGATTTTGCATTTAATTTTGACGGAGGCAGTTTTATTACATTATCTTTTTTTTTTCTCTGTGTGGTTTCTGCAACCTAAGTTCATAGGAAATATACTGTATGCCACAGCCTATATCTATTGTAAAACATTAAATATGCTGTTCCGGGTGTGTTTTATTGCACATTTCAGATGACTAATCCACTAGAGGGCACTCTACTTTTTTGCAAAACATAAAATTATACGTTGCTCTTGATACATTTTATTGAACATTTCTGATGACTATTCCACTTGAGGGCGATGTCTACCTTTTTGCTAAACATAAAAAATACATTGCTCCGGGTGCGTTTTATTGCACATTTTAGATGGCAATTTCACTAGAGGGCGCTGTCTACTTTTTTGCAAAACATAAAATTATACGTTGCTCTTGATACATTTTATTGCACATTTCAAATGGCTGATTCACTAGAGGGCGCTGTCTACCTTTTTGCTAAACATAAAAAAAAAATACATTGCTCCGGGTGCATTTTATTGCACATTTCAGATGACTAATCCACTAGAGGGCACTCTACTTTTTTACAAAACATAAATTATACGTTGCTCTTGATACATTTTATTGCACATTTCTGATGACTATTCCACTTGAGGGCGATGTCTACCTTTTTGCTAAACATAAAAAATACATTGCTCCGGGTGCGTTTTATTGCACATTTTAGATGGCAATTTCACTAGAGGGCGCTGTCTACTTTTTTGCAAAACATAAAATTATACGTTGCTCTTGATACATTTTATTGCACATTTCAAATGGCTGATTCACTAGAGGGCGCTGTCTACCTTTTTGCTAAACATAAAAAAAAAATACATTGCTCCGGGTGCATTTTATTGCACATTTCAGATGACTAATCCACTAGAGGGCACTCTACTTTTTTGCAAAACAAAAATATACGTTGCTCTGGATACATTATATTGCACATTTTAGATGGCAAATTCATTAGAGGGCGCTATCTACCTTTTTGCAAAACATAAAATTATACGTTGCTCTTGATACATTTTATTGCACATTTCAAATGGCTAATCCACTAGAGGGCGCTGTCTACCTTTTTGCTAAACATAAAAAAAATACATTGCTCCGGGTGCATTTTATTGCACATTTCAGATGACTAATCCACTAGAGGGCGCTCTACTTTTTTGCAAAACATAAAATTATACGTTGCTCTTGATACATTTTATTGCACATTT